CACTCTCTCACACACACTCTCACACATACACACACACTCACACTCACACACACACACTCTCTCACACACACACACACACACACTCACTCACTCACACACACACTCACACACACACACACACACACACACACACTCACCACTCACACACACACACTCACACACACACTCTCTCCTTACATTGACGTGCACGTCGTGAATAGGACTTTGTGCCCAGCGGACACAATGCCGGCTCTACAATCGGTGGTGTGGGGGTTGAAATCTGGGTCACAGATAAATGAGAAACGGGGCCCCGAGCGGCTCCTCCTCCTCCAACAGTCTCCCCTGCTTTTGTTTATTTTGTTCCCGGCCGGTCGGTGGGGGTTTCAGCAGGAGGAAAGAGGGGCTTTAGTGTCGAGTTAGTCGGGTTCCTGCTCGTTGTTTTCGCAGAAAAAGCCAAAGAGAGCCTCCGGCATCTGCGGTACGGCTTTCCACAGACTTCCAGCACACAGACGTTTCGAATTAAAACGCACGGAATCAAGCGAGCAGCATTAAACATTACAGTTCTCCAATGAGAAAGTTAGGAATCTGAAGCAACAGAACACAGTGCAGAATACACAAATATCTTATTCTTAAAGCAAGATGCAGTTATTGCATTCTTAAAATGATTCTTAATTGGACAAAATTAAGTTTAAAACAAGAAAAAATATCTGCCAATGGAGTAAGAAAAATAAACTTAATTCAAAAGGAAAATAAGATTATTTTTCTTAACTCGCTGGCAAATATTTTTTCTGGTTTTAAGCAAAAACTTTATACATTTTTCAGAAAAAAAGTAATTTTGTTTTTCCAGCAAATGTATCTCGATTGTTTATATATTTGAATGTCATAAAAATACTATAAATACCAAGCAAGAAAATCGGTCACACTTTATTTTAACGTCCAATTCTCGCTATTAACAAACCATTAACTATGACTTTTGCTTTAATAAACTCCTTCTGTAATTTGCTGCTTATTAATAATTAGTAAGATAGTTGTGAAGTTTAGGTATTGGGTCGGATTAGGGATGTAGAATATGCTCATGCAGAATATGTGCTTTATTAGTAATAATAAACAGCCAATATGTTAATAATAGGCATGCTAATAAGCAACTAGTTAATAGTGATAATGGTCCCTATACTAAAATGTTACCAGAAAATAATTTTAACAATACCAAAATAATAGTATATATATGTATATGCTATAAAGTTGTTATGAAAGAGGATTTAGCACCAATGATTTCATTTACCAACAAAATCATTGCTGTAGGTTTTATTGATTAATTTAATTGATCTAGTCAAACCTGGTAAGAAAACTGTTCATTGTATCTGGACATAAATATCCCATGTTTTTCAGATGATAAATTAACATAAGACAAGTCTCCATCTTACATTTCAGCATGACTTTTCTTTATTTTCTTAATTATTCCAATATTCAAAATGTATAAATAAATTATTTTTCTGTACAAACTTCATGACCCCTTAAGAAGTTCAAGAAATATTAAACCAGAAACACACTCTATGCAAGAACGCAAACGAGTTTCCATCCAGTCAGACGCATTAACATATGCTATAAACATCAACAGCTTAATTATCTTTAACTAACTTGCTCTGCAAGATTCTCTTCAAATGCAATGACAGTAATTGACCTAAAAGAGAAGACTGACCATAGAAGACGGTTCACATTAATGTCTGCCATACCGTCCCTTGTCTGGTTCAGTGTTTGCATCACATACTTGCGTAGAGTGTGCTTCTGCTCTTTGTAGCATTACTAATAATTCACTATATGCAAAAACTAAAGATCGGTAACTTTTTACTTAAAGCCTTACGGTTTAATGCATTATAAAGGTATTCATAATGTACATTGTACTGCATTATATCTATTCATAAATAGCTGTAACAATGCATTTTAATGCATTATAACTGTGGTTGCAATTATTCTAGAGATCATCATATGCATGCACTGTGTGCATTACAAGGCTTAATGTAACTACCTTTATAATGCATTATATAGAAAGGCTTTAAGTAAAGTGTTACTGAAACCACTGAAAACTTGTATGGCAAAAACAGTTTCAAGCTCCACTAAAATACAGACAGTCGTCAGGCACTTGGTGTTGATTTCCAGCATACATGAACAATAGAGATGATGGTGATGGTGTGCATGCTGTCAAACGCTCACATCCAAGACCTGATAGTTCAGAGGACGAGGTCAAACGAATAAAACTGAAGCGTGAGAGAGAACGAGAGCGTTTAACAGCTTCTGAAGGGCCTCTCCACCTAAATGAAGCACTTGATCCTCAAACCGGCTTCTTTATGTGCCCGTGCACTGCAAATATTTGAAGTAAGATGCGAGTACAATGAGCGTTCGCTGTGCAAACCCTTGACGTGCGTCCAGTTTGAGACACTTCAAGTGGCACTGAGGTGAAACAATATGGAAGAAAGACAGAGTCTGGGTTTGTGAACTAATGAATGCTGATGACAAGGACAAACACTGCTGGTCAGCTGCTTCAAGAAGGACTATATGTGACCCTGCAGCACAAAAGCAGTGTTAAGTCGCTGGGGGATATTTGTAGCAATAGCCAACAATACATTGTATGGGTCACAATTATACATTTCTCTTTTATGCCAAAAATCATTAGGATATTAAGTAAAGATCATGTTCCATGAAGCTATTTTGTAAACTTCCTACCGTAAATATATCTAAACTTAATTTTTGATTAGTAATATGCATTGCTAAGAACTTCATTTGGACAACTTTAAAGATGATTTTCTCAATATTTAGATTTTTTTGCACCCTCAGATTCCAGATTTTCAAATAGTTGCATCTCAGCCAAA